GTAAGGACGGTTCAAAAGGTCCAATAACATTCATAGAGTTTGTAGAATGTAAGGTAGGCCTATATATATTCCTTAAATTGATATAGATATGTTGGTTTATTTGAAAAAAATGCAAGGCACATATTTTCCTTTAATAGATTTGGGTGGGTTGGTTCGGTGGTTCAGTGAGGTTCATATATAGTGTATAAATATGTAACACACATTATTTTTAGGTCATATTAGATACGTTACATCAGTGCTTCATGAACGTTCAACACAGTGATTAGATAATGTATACCTACGCACACCATAGCAAGAAATTATGAAAAAGTGAATACAATTAATACGTGGACTCGTAGACAACCGAACTATAGGCATGTGCTTGCCAATGCCCACAAGCACCAAGCATTCCTCCCTCACACAGCTCACGCGCACCTGTTATACCTCATAGACATACCAAGCATACCCAATCTACGACAACCGTAAACACGTACGGTACAAAAGAGTATATCCCATATCAAAACAACCACAGTCAGAAATACGTATCAGATTGGAATCTTACGAGTGATAGAATTAAAAATCTATTTCGTTCTCAAAGGAAGTCGCGACGTAAGGTTCTGAACAGGTGGCTTCCTTCGATACTTTCATTCCTTTCCTCTCTGAAGGATATTATTACCATTCAGCTGTGTCGGGCTCAGGGGTTCTACGCCTCGTTCGGTTTCGGTTTAGAAAGTAAACAGCAAAAAATTGAAAAAAAAAAAAATCTTACATCATCAACGTTCTCATTTAGAGAGTATTATGTATCGACAAAATCACTGTAAGAGATTTTTTTTATCTCTCTCTCTTTACATCCATGTCTACTTCTACTTCTCTCTCTTCTTCTCTCTCTCTCTCTCTCTCTCTCTCTCTCTCTTCTCTCTTCTCTCTCTCTCTCTCTCTCTCTCTCTCTCTCTCTCTCTCTCTCTCTCTCTCTCTCTCTCTCTCTCTCTCTCTCTCTCTCTCTCTCTCTCTCTCTCTCTCTCTCTCTCTCTCTCTCTCTCTCTCTCTCTCTCTCTCTCTTCTCTCTCTCTCTCTCTCTCTCTCTCTCTCTCAGGGCAAGGGAAAGGGATAGGGAAGGGGAGGGGGGGGGGTCTATTACACCATGTCCAATGCTTTTTTATGTGTGTCGGGGGGGGGGGGGGGGTTGACCAGAAATTTCTTGTGAATGTGGTTTTTCCTTCTTTCACATCTCTTGTGTCTTCCCTCCTCCTCTGCCTCTTCTTTCTTAGTCTTATTCTGTTGTTTTGTTCAATTATTCTTTTCGTTTTGTTTGTCTGATTATTATTATTATTATTATTATTATTATTATTATTATTATTATTATTATTATTATTATTATTATTATTATTATTATTATTATTATTATTATTATTATTATTATTATTATTATTATTATTATATCTTTATTATTATTGATATTACTATAATCATTAATCATTATCTTTGTTATTGTGTTGCTATTATTTGTTATTGAGTAGCAGTATCATCATTATCATTATCGTCATTATTATCATTAATGTTAATGTTATTGATTTAATGACTATTATTATTATTATTATTATTATCATTATCATTATTTTTTATCATTATCATTATCATTATTAGTTTTAGTATCATAGTATCAGTATTGATAATGATAATCATTATCATTATTATTATCATTATTATATGATTTCATCTTCCTCATCATCATCATTTTCATTATCGTAATCATCATCATTATTGTTGGTGTTATTGTTAATCATTCTTATCAACATTAGCACTCGCATTCACTTTAATAATTGATACTGACAAAGAATGACAATAATATCATTATAATGATAATGACTAATCATTATTTTATTATTTTTTTGTTGTCTGTGCTTCTGTTACTTTGTTGCAGTCGTTATGATCATTGATGTTATTAGTTAGATTACCATGATTATTATTATGATGATCATTATCAGAAATATGAATTTTCATTGATATTATTGTTGTTGTTGTTATTGTTGTTGTTGTTGTTGTTATTGTTATTGTTATTATCATTATTGTTACTATTATTATTAATATTATTATTATTATTATTATTATTATTATTATTATTATTATTATTATTATTATTATTATTATTATTATTATTATTATTACACCATTATTGATATTGTTATATTTTTATTTTTATTATAATTATCATTATTACATATATTGATATAATTATTATCATTATCATTATTACCATTATTATTGATATTTTATCATTATTATTATTATGATCTTTACTATTGTGATTGCTATTATCACAGATTTAAGTATCAACTGTTTCATTGCCAATACATCACAATGATATGATGGTAATAATGGGAATAATCATAATGATAGTGATAGCAATTATAGTAATCATGGTAATAGTAATAATGATAATAATGGTAATATTGATAATGATAGTTAATAACAACAATAGTAATAGTAGGAGTAATAATATTATTATTAATGATTATTATAATAATGATGATGATACTAATGATAATGACAGTGCTAACAATGATAAGGACATTGATGATAATTATGATGATTATAACAATGATAATAACGATAAGGGTAATTATAATGCTGATTATTATCATGATCATTATTATTCTTGTCATCATTATCATTGTCATTATTATTATTACTATCATAATCACTATTTTGTCACTAATACTATTATTACTATTATCATCATTATTGTCATAATTATTATTAGTAGTATCCTTCATATCATTATCATTATCATTATCAATTTTTATGTTTTAAATATCAATGTATATAGTTATTGTTATGGTTACCGTTATTATTGCTCTTGTTGTTGTTGTCATTATCATGATTATATATTATTACTATTGTTGCTGTTATCATTATTATTATTATTATCATTATTATTATTATTTTAATTTTATTATTATTAATATTATTTTATTATTATTATTATTATTATTATTATTATTATATATTATTATTATTATTATTATTAATCATTATCATTATCACTATCATTATTATTATTATTGTTTGTAGTAGTAGTAGTATTGTTGTTATCATTATTATTATTATTGCTATTATTATCATTGTTGTTAATTATATATTATTATTATTATTATTATTATTATTATTATTATTATTATTATTATTATTATTATTATTATTATTATTATTATTATTATTATTATTATTATTATATTTATTATTATTATTATTATTATTATTATTATTATTATTATTATTATTATTATTATTATTATTTTATTATTATTATTATTATTATTATTATTATTATTTATTATTATTATTATTATATTATTATTATTATTATCATCATTATCATATCATTATTATTATTATTAGTAGTAGTAGTAGTACTGTTGTTATCATTATTATTATTATTGCTATTATTATCAGTGTTGTTAGCATCATTATTATTATTATTATTATTATTATTATTATTATTATTATTATTATTATTATTATTATTTATTATTATTATTATTATTATTATTATTATATTATTAATTATATTATTATTATGATTATACTGTTGTTACTGTTTTAGATATTTAAATAGACAGAGATTTTAAACCAAAAATGATAATTCGATAGACAGATATAGGTAGAAACAGACATTCAGACAGATAATGATGTACAGTGAATAATAGAACTACCGTATGATACACTGACTGCTACTGAAAGCTCAGAATAACGGTTATTGTGTCAAATAGTTAGTGGGTCGTAAAAAGACAAAAAAAAAAAAGGAGAATTTTATGAGTGTGTGTGCATTGTGATGTAATATTTTTTTTTTTTTTTTTTTTTTATAACCTCCGGATGTGCAGACTTATTTTGTAATGATGGGAAAGTCGTTACTTTTTTTTTATTGCTTATATGTTTTTTACTTGTTTGTTCGTGTGTGTGTGTGTGTCGGTTTTTTGGTGCGGGTGGGTGGGTGGTGGTTGTTGCGGGGGAGGGGGAGTGTTTGGGGTTGGAGGGGGGTTGTGTGTATGTCTCTTGTCTTTATTTAATCTTCATTCACTTATTTTTAGAAAAAAAAATGGTCCGTATATGTGTGTGTGTGTGTGTGTGTGTGTGTGTCGTGCGTTCGTGTGTGTCGCGTGCGTGGTGTGTGTGTGTGTGTGTGTGTGTGTGTGTGTGGTGCGTGTGTGTGGTGCGTGCGCGTGCTTGTGCGTGCGTGCGTGTATGTTCATTACACATTACCAATGAAAAGGCAAATAGCACTCACATGTCAGCAGTAATTAACTCCTAATAAACTTTCGTGTCCAAGAAGTAATTAGCCAAAAATGTAAAGAAAACGGAGATGGGGACATAAGAGGCTTTTGTTGTAGTTTAAAATCCTTCGCAAAACTCCTTAAACAAAAGTTTAATGATAAAAACGTGTGGTTATAATAGTTGTTAGCGATAATGAGAAATAATAGTAATAATGATAATAGATAGTATAGTAATGATGATAATGATAATGATAATGGCAATAATGATAACAATGATAATGATAATAACAATAAAATTAGTGTTGACAGTAATGATAATGACTCTGATAATAGGAGTGATGATGATAGTAATTATGATATATAATAGCAAATGTAATAGTAATGATAGGAATAATTATACTAGTAATAATGTTAATCATGATAGTGTTTTTATAATGATAACAACGATGAGGATGGAAAGAACATTATAAATTCCGAGTTTATAATGCAGAACAGAGAGAGAGGGAGAGGGAGAGGAGAGGGAGAGAGAGAGAGAGAGAGAGAGAGAGAGAGAGAGAGAGAGAGAGAGAGAGAGAGAGAGAGAGAGAGAGAGAGAGAGAGAGATGAAGAGAGAGAGAGAAGAGAGAGAGAGATGCTGGACGGAAGAGGGGAACTAGTCAAGGCGGTGGGTGGGTGGGGGGGGAAAGGATGATGAGGGTTAAAAGGTGGGGGTGGGGTCAAGGGGGGTGGGGGTTAAACAGGAGGGGTGGG